TCCTCCTGGCTCTTGACATCTTTTAGGACGTTGGATTTCCCTAAAGTTTGAAGACTGAGTTCAATTGTCAAAATCCTCAAATTTGGATCTTTGACTCTGACTGCTGCAGGGGACACCTGTGGGGTCATTGGTGTCACCCCCTGTGACCTTTGCACTCTGCAACCCCCCATGCCCATGGCTCCCTACAGGGCCCTTGGTTCCTGCCCGAGCCACTCCTCCCTCCTCTTTGCCACTGAACCTGCTAAACACAACCAGACCCCAACCCAGATCTGCAGGTCTGGCCTGAGATGGACAGACCAGAGGGCAGCCTCTTTGTTGGCTGGACAGACCAGAGGGCAGCTTTGTAAATGTGCTTCCCATTCCAACTCACCGTCTGGGCAGTTCCCTCACAGTTAGCGCATTCTGGTCTCCTGATCAAGGGAGGAATTATGCAAGCCGTTAAAAACATCCGTCTCCTACCATTATCGATGGTGTGCCGAAAGCTATCCCCTTTCCTGGAGGACAGGGAGTCTCACCCGTGATTGCCCATCAGAATCGCCGACAGGGCAGATGGAAGCACTGAGGGCTGCCCCGCCTCCCGCCCAGAGGGTCTGATTCAGCAGACCTCCAGTGGAGCTTCAGAATTTGAATTTCTAACAAGCATTTCTGAGGCTGATGTACTACTGGTCCAGGGAGCCACACTTTGGGGATATGACTTTGTATTTATAGTCCATTATCAATTCTTTTTTTTTTTTGACAGTTTTAAAAGTACCATATACGTGAGGCAGGTATGAGGGGATTAAAGAGTAATGGGAAAAATACAAAAAGGAGTAAATAAATAAAAAAAGATTTAAAATGTACCATTTACATTTGATATTATTTTATATTCATTTCAGGTGTATAACATAGTGGTTAGACAATCACACACTTTACAAAGTGTTCCTCTGACATTTCCGGCACCCTCCTGGCACCGTCCGATTACAGCGGTACTACTGACTGTATTCCCAGTGTGGTACTTTGCATCCCCACGACTGTTCTGTGACTGCCAGTCTGTGCTTCTCAGTCCCTTCACCTTTTTCACCCTTTTTGCCGTTCCCTCTGGCAACCATCAGTCTGTTCTCTGTATCTGTGAATCTCTTTCTGTCTTGTTCACTTATAAGGTTGTTTAGATTCTACATATAAGTGAGATCATATGGTACTTGTCTTTCTCTGACTGACTTATTTCACTTAGCATAGTACCCTCTAGGTTCACCCATGCTGTTGCAAATGGTAAGACTTCATTCTTTTTATGGCTGAGTAATAGTCCATCATATATATTGTACCACAGCTTTTTTATCCACTTGTCTTCTGATGGACACTTAGGTTACTTCCATGGCTTGGCTGTTGTAAATAACTCTGCAATGATCATACGGGCGCATCTGTTCTTTCAAATTAGTGTTTTGGGTTACTTCAGATAAAATAACCCACAACATTTATCTTTCGGTTATTTAAAAATACCATTTATTACTGGTTTCCTCCATTGGCTTTCCTTAAAAAGTCCATTAGAATAAATACTTGAGCTGGACACAGACTTCTTGGTGCTGAACTGAGGGGCAGTGAGTCGCTGATTGCACCAGCCATCTGTTCTGACCTGTGGGCTCATCAGGCCTCTGGAACCATCCCCACCTGGCAGGGTCCAAAAGCCTCAGCCCGGAGCACGAGAGGAGCGCTGGGCTGGGAGTCCCAACACAGCTTCCTCCTTTGTGAATTAGGGGCAGAATGAGAAGACCTCTGGGGTGTTCTGGTGTTGTTAGTTTTGAGTTCTGACCACCTGTTAAATATTTTATCCGCCATAATTACACACAGCTTTTAAGCACACCCTTACACAGAGACAGGTGCCGCAAGCCACTGGCTGCCTTGCTGCCTTGCCTCGCTCCTGGACATGATCATTCCAGAGTTCTGGCATTATGAAGAACTTGAGAGTTTGCAAGGCTACCTTTTTAGTATTTATGCTAGGCCCTGAAACACCTCTGTGAGCTACACACTGGACTGCTCCCATTTCAGAGGTGGAAAGACTGAGACTTGAGGGCCGGGGGAGTGGCTTTTTACTTGGGTGGCAGAAAGTGGAGAGTGGGGACAGACCGCGCCGGCCCAGCAGTGTTGCAGGCCAGGCTGCACGGCCCTCCGGCAGGCGGTTCGCCCGTTTTCTGTGTTTAATCGTGGTTGGTATACTACGCCGCCATGACACACAAAGCAGATCCTGGGCCCCGCTGCATCCTGGGATAAGGTGAGGCAGCAGAAGTAAACTGGAATGACCAAGTCTACTTTGTTTTTAAAGATTTTGTTCGTTTTTTTCAGACGAGATTGGGCGCATTCAGGGTGGTATGGCCGTACACTGTTTGTTTTCAGAGAGAGGGAAGGGAAGGAGAGAAAAACATTGATATGTGCGAGAAACATCGATCGGTTGCCTCCCGCTGACCCCCAGTGGGGCACCTGGCCCACAACCCAGGCCGGTGCCCCGATCAGGAACCAAACCCGTGACCTCTTGGTTTGCAGGCCAGTGCTCAGTCCCCGGAGCCACACCAGCCAGGGCACCCAACTCAATGTTTTTGTTTTTTTTTAATACTAGTTCCGAATTTTCCATCAAAACAGAAGTAAAAACTAAGGATGGATAAGCTTTGCCCTGACTGCGGCAGTTTCTTGGTACAAAACGTTTATCACAAAGTCTTTCAAGCACTCAGAAAAGCACAGAATAACAACTGCCCATGGTGTGCTACCCAGGGTTTAAAATGCCCATTTTGTGTCAATTTCTTTTAAAGAAATAAAATACAGCAGGTCTCACTGAAGCCCCTTTGTTCTCCTTCCACAGTGGTGGCTTCCCCGGACCATCCTGTGATACTCAAAATAAAAAAGAAATATTGTAACTGATCTTCCTCACAAGAGCCAAATTATTCAAAACATTTTGACACACACATTGGAAGAATCTACCAAGTTTTGAAGCAGGAAGTGCTTTTTTATTGTGGTAAAATATACATAACATAAAATTCCCCATGTGAAGCATTTTCAGTGTGTAGTTCAGTGGTGTCAAGGACAGTCATGCCGTCCGTCCAGCACCACCTGCCCTCTCCTGACGAATTTTTTCATGATTTCGAACAGAAACAGTACCCATTAAACAGTAACCCCCCAGCCCTCCCTCCACAGCCCCTAACTGCTGCTGTTCTACTTCCTCTCTTGAATTTGGCTTCTCTAGGTACCTCATATAAGGGGAATAATGTTTGTCTTTTTGTGCCAGGCTTGTTTTACTTAGTATAATGTCTTCGAGGGTCATCCACGCTGTGGCAGGTGTCAGAATTTCCTTCCTCTTTATGGCTGAAGAATACTCCATTGTATGTGTGGACCACAGTGGGTTTATGCATCCATCCATCAATGGACACCTGAGCTGCTTCCACCTTTTGGATATTGTTTGCGATGCTGTTGTGAACACAGGAGTACAAATGTCTCTTCAGGTCCCTGCTTTAGTTCTTTTGGGTCTACGCCCTCAAGTTCAGTTGCTGGGTCAGAGAGAAATTCTAGGTTTCACTTTTGAGGAACTGCCCTACTGTTTTCCGAAGCAGCTGCTCCAGTTTACATCCCCACCATCAGCGCTCACTCAGGATTCCCATCTCTCTGTGCTCACAGCAACACTTTGTGTTTTCAATACTAACCATTCCAACGGGCATGAGCAAGAAGTGCTCTTAAGGATTATCTTGTCTGAAAGAGGAAGAAACTAAAGACTTGAGAGGCAGAGGGTTACACAAAGAGGCCGAGGCCACAAGCAAGTCAGTGATGGGGCGGGACCTGGACCCTGGGCCCCCGCAGCCGTCATCCAGGTCTTTCTGCTGCAACTCACAACTCGGTTTCCATTGCTTTGTGACAGAGGGCGCGTGCACACCCCCAGCCATGGGCCGCCCACAGACTTCCCATTTACGTGGCTTGGTCTTTACTTTGTTTCTTTTTAAATTCAAAATAGTATCAATATTTTAAAATGTTGGGGGAATCTTATATTTAAAAAATCTGCATTTCTGATTTCTCCCCCCAGAGTCAGGAAGTTTGGTGACTCTGGACTGGCACTGCGGCGTGGCGGGACTGGAGCTGCCACCTTGGGCAGGGCGTGTGGTTGCCCGGTTGCCGCAGTCCCTACCGCTCTGTACTGTCTTTCTACAAAAACGGTTTCACTGCTGGCTGGTCTCGGTGAACTCCGGAGTGTACAGCCCTCTGCTTTCCCCGCACACTGGCGTCAGTCAGTCTGTGCGTCAGCAGACATGCAGGTGTGTCTAACACCACAGGCTGGTTCCATATCCGCTTAACACTTTCCTCTAGTCTGCATCATGTCTCTTTGAATGTCTTGGCTATTCTTTTGCCTTATAAGTAAAGCAAGATTATGAATAATTAATACAAAACATAAATATTGCCCTGGCCATGCAGCTCAGCTGGTTGGAGTGTTGTTGCTCATGCCGAAAGGTTGCGGGTTCCATTCCTGGTCAGGACACAAACCTAGGTGGCAGGTTCAATACCCAGTCAGGGCACATATGGGAGGCAGCCAATCGATGTTTCTCTGATACACCAATGTTGCTCTCTGTCCCTTCCTTTCTCTTTAGCAGTAAGCATGTCCTCAGGTGAGGATTAGAAAAACAAAATATAAATACCGTGGAGATGTCTTTGTGTAATAGTCTGATTTGGAGACAGTGTGACTCTGGAGAAACACCAGAGAAAACGTCCAGGGGCTCGGATGCTCATCTTGATTCTCCCGGGCAGTTCCTGGGCAACGCCAGCGAGCCCCTTCCCTGCCTGGCCTCCTCGTGCCCACGTGCCGGGTGCGGCGTGGGCTCAGGGGGCCTCCGGGGCTCCACAGGATGCTCCATTTTCTAATGAAGATAAAAGCCACTCCTTTCCCATGTTGGCGGAGAAAACCACCTCACCCGTCTGAGCCAGGACGATGTCTCCGAACCAGCCCTTCCTGTGGCCACCAGCACACCCACTCTCTCCCTTTTCTCTGCTGACAGGTGAGGAATGACCTGACCGGGGTGCTGTACGGTGAGGACATCGAGATTTCAGACACCGAGAGCTTCTCCAATGACCCCTGCACCAGTGTCAAGAAGCTTAAGGTAGGCGCAGCTGGCTGTGGCCTGAAGGACAGACCGACACCACGCTCCTGGGGTTCCCCAGCCCCCTGACCGTGAAGGGGCCTCAAGTTCAGGCTGCTTCATTTCATCCTGGGCACCTCAGACATGGGAGAGGCTCCCTGGAGCTGGCTTCCCTTGGCTTTCCTTTTGGCTGTTGTCCAGCCCTGGCCAAAGGTCTGAGGGCCAGCTGCATGGCCATGTAAAGCTTACCAATGACTGTCTGTCTGTCACCCCAGCCCGAGGGGCCAGCAGGGCACAAGTTAGCATCATCTCCAACATGGAGAGTCTCAGAGAGGGGACCTGTCTTGCCCAAAACCACATCAAGGAAGTATATGGTTGGGATGAAAGCCCAGGCTCCCAACCCACTCACTGACGCTCACTCCAGTAACAGAAAGGGTCAGCCACAAGTTTGCCCAGTCCTAAGTGGGCTCTGTCATTGGTCCATTCACTCCACAAACTCTCTCAAATACCTTGTTTGAGGTATTCGAGACCCTCTCCTGGGCACACAGTTACCATCAGGCCTACCCTTGACTTCAGGTGGCTCGCTGCTGGTGAGGATGGCAGACACCGTTCAGGGGAATCAGGAACAGAGGGGCCAGGCGACAAGGGAGGAAGCGACTGGCCCCCCCCCCCAGGGAGAGAATTCCTATGGGGCTCCAGAGGAGGGACATTTGAGCTGGCCACGGGGGATGAGCAGGATGGGGACCTGCAGGAGCCCAGCAGGGAAGGAGGGCTGAAGGCAGAGAGCAGGACAGCCCTGCTACCCTCCTGCCCTTCTCTCCTGGGCAGGTCCCAGGTTACACTAGTCAGAGCAGGTGGCAGGTCACGGCTCTCATCTTTCAAAGTCTCAGTTCACAGATGGAGAGACAGAGACTGAGAGGTGAGGAGCAAGGGAAGCAGTTGTTTGACCCTGCTCTGGAGCAGGCCCTGCACCTGCACAGGACATTCAGCCCCGGGGGGCCTCTGCAGATGAGAAACAGTAGCTGGGGAGGCCTGCTGGCTGCGCAGGCGTCGGGGCCAGGTCTGCCCACGCTCTTCTTCCCCGGGAGGCTGTGTGGGGCCTGAGGACCCCGAGGGGTGATGCGCCCGCTCTGCAGGGAGCGAGCACCTGGGGTGGGGCTGGTGGCAGGGGCCCAGTGCCGAACTGACATTCTCCTGCCACACACAGCGTCTCCCCAGCGTGCGCACTTGAAATAGCTTCCTGCGCCTCAGAGGCCCTGCAGAGTTCTGCGGGCTTTAAAGTTTAAAGAACCTTTGTGTAGAGAGCAGAAGCACTAGTTGAAAGTCTACAGGAAATTGGGGATGGAACTGGGTGTTCTGCTCATCAGCCAACCAACTCAGACAGAAGCAGGAGTGACATTAATGGTGATGAAAATAGCAGCTGACCTTTCCACTGCACCAACCAAGGGCCAGGTCCCCCTGACTGCCACTTGCTCATTTCATCCTCCCTGGAGCCTTGGACAGAGGGGATCTGTATCCCCATTTCACAAATGGGGAACTGGAGGCTCAAAGAGGTGAAGGAACTCAACCCAAGTCACCCAGCTAGAAAGGAAGGTTGGAATTCAAACCTGAATCTGGGCAACACCAGGGCCCAGCGCTCTCCCCAACCCCACATAGCTGCTGCTCTGAGGAAAGATTCCAGAGTCACCTAAGCAGGGCAGGGAAGAGCCAAGGACAGCAGGCACAGTTGGTTGGCAGAGTCCCTTCCATGCAGAGCATCCTTTCCCTGGAAGCTGCGAAGCTCCTCCTCACACTTTGTTCTCCTTGGTGCTAAGTGGTCCCCTTTTCCCAAACTTTCCCTTCTCTAACTGCTTCATTTAAAATTTATTTCGCACCCTGGCTGGTGTGGCTCAGTGGATTGAGTGCCAGCCTGTGAACTGGTGGGGTGGGTGTTGCTAGTTTGATTCCCAAACAGGGCATTAACCAGGGCTGCGGGCCAGGTCCCCAGTTGGAGACAACCAACTGATGTTTCTCCCCTTCTCCCTATGTCTAAAAATAAATAAATAAAATCTTTCTTAAAAGATAAAAAATCTGAAATCTCTTCCCCTCTCACTCTTATCCCTCCTTTCTGCTCATTTCTTTTTCCATTTCACTGGTGGGCCTCTGTATTAATTTGGGGGGGGTATGCCTTAACAAAGTGCCACAACTGGGGTGGCTTGAAACGACAGAAATTTATTCTCTCCCATTCTGGAAACTAGAAGTCCAAGGTCAAGGCCACGCTCTCTGGAAGACTCTGGGGTTCCCCTTTGCCTTTCTCTGAGCTCCGGGTGTTGCTGGCAATCCTCGGTGTTCCCTGGCTGCAGTCTCTGCCTCTGGCGATGTTTTCCGTCTTCCTCTTCACACTGTCTTTGTATTAGGACTTGAATCATCTTGTATTAAGAGCCCACCCTACTCTACTAAGACCTTGTCCTAGCTAATGGCGCCTGTAATGACCCTGTTTGGAATGAGGTCACATTCTGAAGTATCGGGGGTTAGGATTTTAACAGTTCTTTGGGGAAACAACTCCACCATCAGTGTCCGACCCACATTTCATTTCACCCAGTTGTTCCATCCTCTCCGTCCCCCACTGGGGTGTGAGCTCTAGGGGCCAGCGGCTTCTCTCTGTCGTGGTCACAGTTTTAATCCCCCACCCATCACCTAGAGCCAAATCTAATGTGCTTAGTAAGTCTGTTGGCTATGTATTAGTAAAATGCCAAGTCTGGGGCAGACAAAGCAAGCAGAAGACAGCAATAAAATACTCAAGAACAAAGAGACGTAACTTCTGGAAAGCCCTGAGAAAAAGCAAATCTGTGGTTTACTGTGGGATAAGATAGAGAAGGGAGGTATGGAGGATAAGAAAGAAAACTATATAGCAAATTATAGAATTGAAATCTGCGTGGGAGGTAGCGGAGAGCAGAGTTAATGCCAAGGAAAATAAAAATCAATAATACAGAGTACAAGATTCAGAGGAAATGGTCAAAGAAATCAATTCAATGAGAGGAAAGGTACCAGTTAGGGATGCTGGAAAAGGGAGGTCCTAAGGGAAAATCAGGACCAAATGAAACAGAAGCAAAATAAAAATGAGAAGTAGGCACCCAGTATCAGCAGTCATACCCAGCACCCAGATCTTGGTGTCTAATATCATTCTCAAGGAAGAGCAACCAGGTTCCTTGAAGAAATGGCTGACTGTAGGGATGAGACAGGAAGTAGACCCCGGAACACCTTGTAGTGCCAGAAACCAGGAGTGCTCGGGACTCCACCACACAGGCGGGGTGGCCCAGAGGGGTGCAGCCGCCATCAGAAGGAGCTCTCAGTGCCACAGCTGGGACATGTGAGCAACAAAATAAAAGCAGTGTTGGAAGTATAAAATAAATATCCATGAGTCTATATTGATATGAACGACTGAATAAGTAAATGGGAGAGAATAGACAAATCTCCTATGCCGAAGAATTCCTGATAATTCATGCAGATATTTCACATTCAGGGAGGTGGAGTAGACCACCCACTTGTTCAGTGGCTTCCCTCTGAAGAGCACGGCATGCAGCAGTAGGGGGAGGGGTAACTGTAATAGAAAACCTGAGAGACACGGCCTCAGACAGGTGGTCAAGGTCAGCAGCAGTAGCGATAAGTCCTGTTGATAGGAGGTACCCTTTAAATGATGTGAGGAAAGGGTGTTTTACCTCCATGGTCTTCCTTGCCAAAGTCCATAACCCCAGTCTAGCCATGAGAAAAACACCAGGCAAATTCTCTTTGAAGGCCATTCAACAAAATCCTTGACCAATACCTCAACACGGTCCACGACTCTGAAAATAAGGAATGTCTGCACCCAAGGGGCCTCTGGAGACGTGGCAGCTCATTGAATGCGGTGTCCTAGATGAAGTTCAGGGGTAGGAAAGAGCGTTAGAGGAAGGCACTCAAGAGGTCTGAATAAAGCGTGTGCTTTAGCTAATAATAGTCAACGTCAACTCATTAATTGTAATGCACCACCCTAGCACAAGATGTTAATAATAGGGGGAACTGTGTGAGGGACATATGGAACTTTCTGTACTATCTGTGATTTTTCTGTGAATCTGAAACTATTTTCAAATAAGAAATTTATTTTTAAAAAATTGGAGACAAACTTAAATGTGCCCAAGAGACCTACTAGATTGGAACGTACAAAACCCGATCTTCAACCGTGAGGGAACTACAAAATCAACAGGTCAAAAGGCAACATGCAGACTAGCCGGCCTTCCCGTGTGCTAGTGGGAGTGGTGAACAGGGCATCGTATATAGACATCTTTAGGCAAAAGTTTTGAGATACAAACATAAAAGGGAAAATCTACAAGTATCTAGGCCAGAAAAGAGCGTATTTTCCACAAAGGTGCAAAATCCAGGCCACCTCCACTCCTCCACGGCATCCAGTCCCCGGAACAGTGGAGCCGCAGGGAGACCTTCGGCCACGTGTGAGGTTCACGCGAGGCACGTGCCAGGTGCCCTTCTAGAAGGTAATCCTTGGAGTCTTATGTCAGCCTTCTAGATCCAGGGCAAACCATGACAGAACCTGCCGTGGCTCAGCAGGAGCTGCCAGAACCCGTGGAAAAAGAGCTAAGTTTAAGTGATTGTTATAAAAATGTATATACATGCAAAAATCCATTTGGAAAGCAAGCATACATGTACATATAATGGGAAAATAGATACTGTAGTAATAATAATTGAATATGAAAATCTAATTCCATTCTGTTCCATTCCATTCCATTCCATTCTGTTAATTCCATTAACAGAGCCAAAAGTGGGTGTGTTAAAAAAAACCACGGGCCCTGGCTGGTGTGGCTCAGTTGGTTGGAGTATCGTCCTGTAACCAGAAGGTTTCAGGTTTGATTCCTGGTCAGGGCGCATTCCTAGGTTGCAGGTTCAATCCCTGGTCCAGGTACGTATGATTCCCTTTTCTGGGAGTGTGCTGGAGGCAACCAACCAATGCTTCTCTCTTGCATCAATTTTTCTCTTTTTTCCTTCTTCTCTCT